GTTTGTTTGCCTTGGGTTTAGACCTGGTCAGAATTACACTGCTGTCACTTTTTGCTCCCTCTGTTTCAAGGTAATGATAGAAGATGGAGGGCTGCTTCATTAGCATCTCTTTAAAATGTATCATTTAAACCCTTTCCAACATTAGTTGAGTGTGTTTCTATATTTTAGATAAGAAGGATTACAAAAAAATGAATACATTTAAACTTGAGAAACTTTTTTTTTTTTAAATCACTCAGGTTTTATATTAATGGTACAACTTATTAAAAGCCTTAAGTTGTTACAACTGCCATGACAGTGATGGATGTATGAAAACATCTGAGCAGACCTAGAGGCAGAGCAGAATTCAGCTAAAAGCCTTACATTTCTTTTTTTTTTTTTTGCCAAAAAGCATACTTGGCAGCTTGTTAAACTAATCAGCTCTAATTTCACTGTGGGCTATTTGTCTTATCCTTAACAACGATCAGCCTAGCTTAGGGCGCAAATACACTCTGAGCAGCATGATGCAACCCAGGTTTGAGAGCAAATTTCACGGAGACAAGGAGGTCTTTGGATAATCCATGTTGGGAAGCACAATTTTACAGCTTTTAAGCATGTTCACATATGAGTATAGCTTGCCACTCTGGCATAGTTTGTGTGTGGACTCTGTATTATTCCAGAGGGCCGATGGGGAGCAGGGTTAAAACCTGGAATGTTCACTATTTCCCCACAGGAAGAGGCTCATGGAAGTCTACCACTGCCCAACGCCCAAAATCTCTTCATCACACGCAAAGCTGGCCGCCTGCTGAAAAATAACACCCCCCAAAAAAAGAAAAATCACAAAAACTCTGATCTTTTAACTCTTTTGTGTTTTATTAAAGACATTCTTTCTTTAATACAGTTTTATAGTACAAAAATTCACATTACAAAAATACTAAATAGTTTTCATCAAAAAAAAGAACCATAGCGATCTGGTTTTGAGCGCTTTGTTCTTGTTTTATACAAGCTCATATTCACTTCACTGGATGCTGTTTGCCTCACACAGAAGCACGTTTTTACATTTACACAGGTCTCAACACAGAGTCATAGTGGGTGTTTCTGCAGAAAATAAACAGGACACACTTTACAGAAATTTATAGCACATAGTGGCACAGTGAACCCTCTGAGGCAGTCGTAGTTATTTATAACTGAATCGGGATATTTTAAGGCACTGGGTTCCTATATATGTTTCACAATGGATTCATGCAAGCATATTAGAGGTATTATATTGTGTTTATATAATGCCTGCATTGTAAGAGATGCAATGATCAGAGCTTTATTGTCAGTGTCTGGTTTTGTAAAGGTGAAGAAAGAAAAAGTATGAAAGTGTAGAAAGGTTTTAAAACATCTTAAAACTCCTAAACATTGAACATTCTTATACACTTTTCTCCTAATACCAGTATGCTTTTCTAAGGACCACATTTGCGTGAGCATTTTTTTTTTCCTGTCATCTTTTTGCTTCTGTAAACACCAGAATTTCCCCATTGTGGGACAATAAAGGGATTTTCTATTCTAAAATTGTTCAATCTTTAAAAATCCTTCAATCTAAATGCTAGAAAAGTTGTGTAATGCTGTGCAAATTCAGATGGTTAAAAAGTGGACGGCAACAGTTTTCCCTCCTGTTTGGAAATTACTGCTAGAAAAATGGATGGCAACCTACTGTAGTTGGAAAACTGGCAGTGGTATGGCTGCTATGGCTAACTCAAAAATACTTTTAGTATATATATATATATATATATATCACTGTAGGGGTGGGACGGTTCACAAAATCCACGGTTCGGTTCGGTTCACGGTTTCGTGGTCATGGTTTTCGGTTCAGTTCGGTATATGTTGATTGTTACACCGAAATCCTATAAAAATTAATTAAATAAATGAAAAAATCCAAAAAAAATTATTTAATTGTAATTTTATTTTAATGATCTGCGGAAACCCTGGATAATCTCCACATGTTTTGCTGCTTTGAATTTAATCATCTCGCACATGCCCTTGCGGAGCGGACGGGAGCCACAGAGGAGGCTGTATGCTTTGCTTTGCGCAGGCGGTCTGGAGCGCTGACGGAGTATGTGGGATTTCGGGGTTAGCATAACATGTTGGCCATGTTGCTGTTAGCATAAACAAAACGTGTTGCACAATGCTTGCACACTGTTGCACTTTTATCCACAACTTTCTTTCCGCCGTCATCTTAGGTCACTCTAAATGCAAATTGGTCCCATACAGCAGTGCTGCTAGCGCGTCTTCCAACCCTTCTTCTTTC